GTACAATGTACTATAGCAGAAATATCACTTATAGAAAGAAAAAAACAATGTGTAAATAAACGCAAAAGTTATCGGATTCAAATCCAGATGAAATGAAATGTGGAACTTTTGTTACAATTGATGCACCAGATTGGGAAAGCATCACCTCTGAAAGTGGTACGAGTGAAAGAATTGTTGAACATGATATTTTCAAAGAAAAAAATGACGAAACCCATTATGCAAAGCGAAATATGGAAAATGGATATGCAAAAAAATTCAGGGAGGCTACTTTTTAATTAGCCTATACTTCGTAATATCAAAAATTGTACAGAGGAAGCAGCTCACCGGCAAATGAAAAAATGAATTGTCAACCACTTTAGACTACTAGATGCTTTTGCATCAATTTTGTGTGTTCGACGTATACGAGTATACGGTGCAAATAATCTAGAGTTTGATAGAGTGTGGTCTGTTGTTTGCGGTCCATCTTTATTCCGAGATACTTCGGTGAGAGATAGATTCAGAGATCTTATAAAATTTCTGCGATTCGACAAAAAAGCTACACGATCTGAACACTTTCAAACAGATAAACTGTGTTTCATTTCTGAAGTTCAGAAGAAATTTATTAAAAATTCGATAATTTGCTCTAAACCGGGGCCATATATAACTATTGATGAGCAACTGTTTCCGTCTAAAGCTAGATCTCTTTTCACGTGATATATGCCAAGTAAACCAGATAAATTTGACATCAAGTTCTGGTTGCCGCTGATATTAATAGTAAATATGCGCTCAATGGTTTTAAATATTTGTGTAAATATGAGGAACGTCCTGTAAACATATTTCTCTCCTAATACGTCGTTTTGCGTTTGATAGAACCTTCCGAAAATAAAGGAAGAAATATCACTACAGATAATTTTTTCTTTGCACTAAATCTGTCCCAAATGTTAAAACACTAGTTTAACTGAGATGATGAAAGGAAATCGGAAAGAAGTAGCTGAATTTGTAAAAAAAGAAAGATGCCGTTATACCATACATTGTTACTGTAGCATGATGATATAACTTTGGCAGTTTATCAGGGAAAAACCAGAAAAAATGTCTTATTTAGCCCCTTCATACCACAGTTAATATTGGCAATAATCATCCAAAAAAGCTTCCAGAAACAATACCTTTTTATAACTCAACAAAATTTGGTGTCAACGTTGCCGACCAAATGGCCGTAATTATTTTTTGAAGTGGTAGGATCAAAGACGTGTCCAGTCCATGTATTCTGAATATTCTTGATCTTGCAGGGATTAATTCATGGATTTTAAACAAAAAGAGTAACTTGTAAAAAAACTACGAGGAGAGAATATCTTCAACAATTCATTGCAGTGTTGCGTAGTGCGTATATTCACAAAACAAAGTACATGTTAGATAAACAGACAAAAGCGGATAATACTGAAGAATCTGCGTAGATGCGAAAAATGGTTCATTGCAAAGATTTCCAGTGTAGAAAAAAAACTGTAGATACTTGTTCTGACTGTAAAAAAAACCAATAAATGGAAAATGAACAACATATATAAAAAGAAGTTACACAAAATGTGCATGAAATGTGTAGGAAATCTCTACTGGGGTAAGAAACTAAATATTTCTATCCAAGTGGTCTGTATATTTTATTAACTGTGTATACAATATTTCATATTACAATATCCTTTTATTTTTTATCACTTATTATAAGAATTTACCGTTAAAAGTGATTAAATGGCATTGCCAAATAATTACATCGTACTTTAAGCATAACAACACGGGTTTTATTAATTGGGGTCAATTTGACCCCACCCGCGGTTTTAGGTATACTGAAACTGCCGTGGTTCTACTGGTAATGTGTTTGGAGAAAGTCCTTCAAGATTTTCTCATTTGGATACATTTAAGGGGAACTTTTCTATTTATGTTTAGGGCTTAGAGATTATCTTTTGCTCATATAATTCAAAATGTGAAACAAATAATACGAAATGCAACAAATTATAACGTGAATACAAATGATGTTTTATTTAATAGTTCATTTAACAATTCATTATTTCAAATTTCGAGGGTAAAGAGAAGTAAGTTTCTAGTGGAAATTAACATAATGCAAGTTTACAGATAAGAATTGCAAGTTGTGCAACTCTTTTTGAATTTAACAAAAATCCAGATCTCTACAGTATGTCCTAAAAATAACTAACATTAAATTTATATAATAATCTTACTTATACCTATATCATGAAATATATAACACGGTAGAATATAGGTCAAGATCTCGAATTTATGACCGGCATGTCATGAAGGCAGATGCCCATAAAATATGCCGAGGCTCAAACGTCCTCTCTTTTGGGGTAGTGTGGAATTTAGTAGAATGAATCAGCTCAGGTTTCATCCTCATCACTTGATCATGGTTTAAAATTACGAGGTTCGTCGTCAACATCCCTCTTGACACTTTATAATGAGACGTAAAAGTAACTAATTCTATTATGAAAGACTGTTCTTGAGGTGACTTTTCAAAGGCAAACTCAAAAAGGAAAATATTTTTCTCTTGTATAAGTATCCATAAATATCATGAATTAATTTTATCTTACTTTAAGTAATCGAATCTTTTAAATACAATCAAATTGTACTAAATTATGTAATAAAAATTAAAGTACATGGTCATAATTTTAGCATAATTTGAATAAGCAACTTATATATATATATATATATATATATATATATATATATATATATATTAGTTGTAATATGCAAAGAAAATGGAACATTTATCTTTTGTTTTAAATTCTGGATAGTAGAAGTTAAGCGATTCTTTTTTAAACTACTGATTGTAATTTTAATGCAGAAATGTATTATACGTAAATAATTTTTCCGAAAGTATATATATGCACAAGCAATGTAATTTCAATAAAATAACTTTATATATTCAAAGTATATTGAGAGAATAACCAGTATATTAAAGTTAGATATTTAAAGAGTGTATTTTAATTATTGCATTTAATTTTCGAAGTATATTGAATGACGAAGAAGCAGATACTGTCAGTTCTTGCTGGGTTTTTTTTTACTTTATTGACTTCTTCAACCTTCATCCAATCAAATGGAGGTAAAGCAGAAAAATAAAGTTGATGGCTACATGGATAGTTTTTATATGAAACTAAGAATTGATCTTTCTTACAGGAGATAGTGCGATTTATTTGTATTTTCACGTTTATGATAAACTAGATTTAAATGAGATGTAAATTTAAAGCTCTATTCAAAATATACTTATCTTATTTTACGTATTATATTTAGCTATATTCTATTTTTCTTACGCAGAAAGTAGCAATATTTTTATTATTCTATTTAAATAGTGCGTTTTTCCCGTAGATAAGGAATCATCAGCTCTGAAAAAGTGGGGAAAAAATGTAAATAACATTTTGAGTCGTTTCAACTTAAAAAGTTAAATTTTTAGATAGCGTTTTGCTTTATCTATGAATAACACGTTATATAATGTATACAATATCTCATACAAAATCATTATTAAATGCATATATGTACAGTATTAAATATTTGAATACAATATTTTATTTAATTACACCTATTTTTGATTTTTCAAAGTAAGCTGTGGCTTTTAATATAATTACAGACTAAACGCACCATTCCCCACTCAAAGAAAATAATTGGAAATTCATAAATATTTAAATTTTGATTTTTGAAAAAAAAAATTAAATACTAAGAAAATTCATCAAGATTACAGAAAATTAGAGAGTTTTTTAAAAGAAATGACACGCGTTATGTGTGCAGCTATATAATAATAAAACTAATAAACAAAATGTGAAAATTAAATTGTTTTAAAATTATATTTCATAGAACTTTCTCTTTTATGTGAAACAGATCACGTACCTGAGACCAAATACCTAACATAATGCGTGAAATTCAAAGTTCTTAACCGTATTTCATTAACATAAGCATATCGTATTGCAATTAATTGAAAGTTTCGTATAATTTAGCACATATGAGTAAAAATACTGCAATAAAATATTGTAAATTAATTGTAAATGTATCCAAAATATTATGAAGTGCTTACAAATATTCACTGGTGATTACATATCTCTCGGAAGCAAGCAATTCATTTCAATGTTATCCCTATCGCATTTGCAGAAAATGGAATAAATACATGCAAAATGCATGACATTTCACAATAAATATATTATAGTTAAAATGATAATATTGATTATAACATATTGGTGCGAGCGTATTCGACATGTATTAAGTTTCGTATTTTCCTAGTCATGCTTTTCTAGGTTAGTAATGTTTAAGAGTAAATATTTATTCATTAATTTTAAATTACGGAGAATAAGCGCTTTTTCGTATATTTTAAATTATATTTTAACATTCCTTAACTATTACAAGGAAATAAAAGGTTATTTCATGAGAATAATATATAATTTTAATGGGCATTATTTCATAAAATCAATTTCACATTTATGTTTGTAGACAGAATTTTTCGATAGTAAGAAATAAACAAATTAATTTATATTCTTTCTTTTCACTTTTATTTTATTTATTTTATTATTAAGTTTATTTTTTTTAATTTCCTATCCATACCATTCATTTGAATACATAGGAAAGATATTCAAATATGAAAACATAATTTAATGTATTGAAATCAATTTTATCTTGAAATATCACTTTGGGATCTTCATTTTATTTGATTTCAAAAAGAAATATAATTTCGTTTAAGTAAAAATTATTTAGCACCTTCGTTAAAAAAAGGAAGAACAAGTGGAAACATTTTTGAATTCTTACTATTATATATATATAATTCACTCTCTCCATATATATATGTATATATATATATACTTTCTATTCATTCATTCAAGTTCAAATACATTTTTTAAATTTGTAGTGGATGACACGTGTGGTTAATACAGTTTTTTCACACACAAATATTAATATTCATTCATTAAATTAAAAAATGAATAAATAGTAACAAACAAAAATAGTACTCCAACAGCATATGTAGAAAATAAATTGTTCGTAATGTCCCTGTGGCACAATGCATAGCATGTTGGACTTCTAATCCAAATGCCGTGAGGATTCGAATCCCACCTGGGATAACCTAATTTCTGAGATTGTGATTTCTGTTTTATTATATTTTTTTAGAATAATGAAATTTAATGGATGACTAAACATTAACAAACAAAAATAGTCTAACATACTATATAGGAAGGAAAAGGAAAAACTGCAAGGAATTTCGCTTTCTATTTCGTCAATTAATACTGTGATTCGGTCATATGTATCTGCATATTTATATTAATTGTAACTATTTAATATAAAGAAAATAAATTAAAACGTTTCCTTGTTCACATAAATAGGAATTTATTTCATTTATTTTAAATTATATGTTTGTGCAAATGCTACTTTGATGCTTAATATTTGTCAATTACAATTCACAGTGAATACATAATTACAATGCATTACGGCAGATTGCATAATCGGTGCAATGTAACTTGACATTTTAATGAAAATAAAAGAAAAATTAAAACAAAGAAATATTTATATATATAATTAAAGGCATGAAGGACACAAATAAAATTAGTTAAGAAAAATTTAAGTACCACTTATTTTAAAAGTTTTCGATATTGTATATATTGGGAATATGATTTAATGAACAAAATAAAAAATTGTGTGTGTGTTTCCTCAGTTACGTATTGACGTAAGCTGATTTTAAACACGAAAAACCAAATTTATGTGTGGAATTAATTTCCTGTCGTTTGACTTCGGCAAATTAAGTTGACAGAGTAAACATTTTCAGGGCTTTGCTATTCAACATTCCGTAAATTAGTTTTGGAATTTTTGAAATGGAAGTGTTTCTAAACTTACTATGGTAGAAACTTTAGTTTAGTTAGGAGATTACTTTTGAAAAACCTCCAATAATTATAATCAACGGCAAATGTGTAAATAAATGTATGTTACATTTCAGATATTAAAACTGAATTTAGAGGAGGAAAGGAAAATTATTTATTTTTAATCGAATTTTATTTTAAGGAAATAAAACTCGAAATAAAATTGCTTACGAATAATGGTTAGTATTTTTAACCTGTCGAATATTGTTTTAAACGTGCGATCTTATTATTATTATTTTTTTGAGTTTTAGTTTCACGAAAAATCTATAACTTAAAAAAATTACTTTTGATTTTAAACGTATCTATTTTTACTAATAAATTTTAAATAATATTTATTTTCTTAGTTCTTAACAAAGTGTTAAATACAAGTTATGAAAAGTGAAGTGAAGAAGCTATTATAATTCTTTTGAGGAGCAATATATTCAATACGTTGAATTTGTATTGTTATAACAAGTATTTATAAAAAATCCATATGATTGCACAGCCATTTTTTTATACTTTTTTTTTAAATATAGCTTCATTTTATAAAGATGTGGATGGTTAATTAATTTAACATTGTCTCAGTTTTCAAATAATCACACATTTTTTTTAATTTACGAGTTTCTGAAATTATCAAAATTTCTACATTATTTTAATTTAAATATGGTTATAAAAACAGAGGAACTTTTTCAGAAAAGAAATATAAATTTCCACATATATGTATATATATATTATTTAGATTTAAGAGGAGATAGAATCATACAAATTAAATTTTTCTATGGAAGTTTTACAATCCTATTACTTATATATTGTTTTTACCTCGCTGGGTCTTGGGGTGGTGTAGTTAGTTTGGTGCTGGCCTTGTACGCGCAAGTTTGCAGGTTCGACCTTGGCCGAAGTTGATCAATTTTAATGATGCTAAAATTCAACAGCGTCCGTGTCGTATGATTATGCGGAATGTTTAAAATTCCTAAAATATCTGCTTGACGTGAATTTCTAGTAAAATTTCGCATCGCCAGAAGTTAGGTGCATTCCTTCTACGATGGAAACCTGGCATCAAAATTACACAGTAGCAGTTTGTATTTACCTGTATGGTGCCACACTAGAATGGGGTACCAGCTTCCAAGAAATGCACTAGGGTCTGCAATGGTAATTACTAATCCACGGCCTCATTTGAAAGAAAAAATATACTACTTTTATTGATAACTTTTATTTTAGTATTTAGAATTTTGAAAAATACTCTACCGGGTTTTTAAGGTCAATGAGCTCCTTTTAATTGGATTTCACAAAAATATTTCAATTATTTGCTAAAATATATATTCATTATGTTATATATCTAAGATTTTTTTCTGTATTTATCGTCAGCTGCATTAAATACTTTTATAAATCAGATATGAAAATGAAAGTAAAGATGAATTTTACGAAAGCCGAAGTTATGTTTACGATAAAATTATTTTCCCTTTTTTTTTTCCTTTATTTTTCTTACAACAACAAATTGTTTTATGTTTAATACATGTGTATGGTTATACTTTCTGTTAGGAATAGTATAGTTACATTTTGTGCTATTTTTAATTAAATTTTATTCTGTTGATTTAGCATCTTCAGTGAATCTTCTAATAGCTTCACGTGATAAATGAAACATTATTTACCATTTTTATGCTAAGAAATAAATATGTTATTAAATAAATGTGTGTATGCTTGTGAAAATACATTGTTCACCACCAACCTGCTATATAAGGTAAAATGAAGTAATTCTATGAAATGTATATATATGTTATAACTTTTTTTTCTTTTACAGAATTGCTAAAGGACCCCAGAACGGGGCTGGTCAATTGTTTAAGGATCTACATTATGAAAACAGAGGATTCCGAAAGGCCACACATTTTTAAATTTATTTCATTCCTTGGTTCACTTTGAGCTTCAGAAATGTATGTCAACTAAAATATATAATTGTGTGTGAGTGCAGTTTTATTCAATTTATTGCTTTTGTACTAATTTTACTACTATAGCTGCATTCAAAAGTTTCTCATTTGGGTACTTTTAAGGGGAACTTTTCTCTTTATCTTTAGAGCGAAGAGACTATCGTTTGCTCATAAGACAGCGTTTTTCAAACTGTGGGGCGCACTCCCTTTGGGGGGCGTGATGATCCTGTGAGGGGGCGCGAGTATATTGAAAAGTTGAAAACAAAAGATTATTTAAAAGAATTATTAATTTACTGAAAGTAAACAAACAAATTCATTCAGACGTAATAAAAAATAAAGTACACATTTACACTGATATAATACACTTATAAATGTATCAGTACTGCAAAATGTATTTTTGATAACTAATAACAATTCTAAATTAAGAGTAAGTTTAACAATTAACAAAGACTCCATGGGTTCGTCATACATAAAACTATATTCAGAAGTTAACATGTATTTCGATAATTAAACCCTTAACTGCCGATTAAAAATTACGCGATTCGCTCCTTAATGCTGCCGTTTTCCACGTAAATGGTGGATGAGAGGGGGAGATGGGGAAAGAAAAGAAAGAAAGAAATTCTCTGAAATAAGTAAATCCTTCGTAAACAATGTCATGATCATTTTATTCAATTCCAAATAATTTATTGGGAGAAGTGTACATAATAGATCGTACTTCAAAGTGACGTACATATACGTCCGGGGTAATTAATGCACTAGCTGAGTGAGAGGTTTATATACACTGGTGAATCTTCAAAGGTTAAATTAGTAGTGTAGCTTTATTTTCAAATGATACTATTATTGAATGATATTATACAGAAAGGGGTGCGATGAAACTTATGATTGAATATTGGGTTGCAAATATTGAAAGTTTGAGAAGCACTGTCATGAGGTGGATAATGTGAAACAAATAATACACAATTTAACAAATTATAACATGAATACAAATGATATTTTATTTAATAGTTCATTTAACGGCATTTAACGGCTTAGTATTTTAAATTTCGAGGAAATATAAAAGTAAGCAGCTACAAGAAATTAACAGAATGCAAGTATACGGATAATATCAACACCAGAGGAAAAATCTTTAATATATCCATACAATTGTTGGTTTTTGCTGCTGAAATTGATATCATTGCTGGAACACCCGCCGCACTAAGACAAGCCTTCTTATCTTTAGAGAAAGAGGTCCTCAATATGGGATTGGAAATCAATGAGAATAAGACCAAGTACATGCCTTGCCCTAAATCATATTTTAACGATTCCCATTTTAAAATTGAAGAGTACAGTTTTGAAGTTGTTGATTGCTTTTTACTTATTTAGGTTCGGAAATTAACAATTAAAACGATTGTACTACTGAAATCCAAAAGAGAATTACTATGGTTATTAGATGTTTTAATGGAATACGAAAATATATAAAACCTCACATTTAATCAAAAGAAAAACAAATGTGTGTGTGTTCTATTGTTTTAAAGTCTTTTAAGATCAATATTAACATATATATGTGAGACTTGATCCATGTCTCGAACAGATGAGACCATGATAAGTATCTACAAAAGGAAGGTTTTAGGATTCATTTTTGGAGGAATTCGGGAAAAGGGAACATGGCGAAGAAGATCAAATTTAGAGATCTATCAATCATATAAAGAATCCGACATTGTTAACTTCATCAAAATACAACGACTTAAATGAGCAGGTCACGTTATCACAATGAGCGAACACCGCACATCTAAAAAGGTCTTCAATGCTCAATCAACACTGGCCCACGAAGAAAGGGTAGACCAAATATTCGATGGTATGATGGCCTAGAAAAACATCTCTTAGTTTTGAGAACTAGGCACTGGAGAACACTAGTAGGAAGAACTCTGACCTGGAAAAGGCTTCTTGAGAAGGCCAAGGCCACCATGAGTTGTCGTGCCACTGATGAAGGAGGAAGCTACAAGTACATTTAATTTTAGAATCAGTTCAATAATTCCAATATATCCTGTCACACACTTCTATGTATTCGTTTTAAATCATGGGTGAGATTGCTTTTCGTATGTCTATGTAAAGTTGGTCACACTACGACTTCTAGTATTTTACGAAAACCAGGTAGTCATGAATCGAATTTAAAGAAAAAGGACTGACCGAAAAAAATAACTTATTGTAAGGAAAGAAAAATTTTCCTTGAAATTAGAAAAAAGGTGCAGCAATTAAAAACACAAGGACTATCACATATCTCTAAGCAAACAGTGAACATCAGCGTAACCCTTTATTTACCGACGGTATTTA